ATGGATGGATGGATGGATGGGTGGATGGATGGATGGATGGATGGATGGGTGGATGGGTGGGTGGATGGATGGATGGGTGGGTGGATGGATGGATGGATGGAAGGATGGATGGGTGGATGGATGGATGGATGGATGGGTGGATGGGTGGATGGATGGAGGAGGAGCTGCACAACCCACATCACAGCTGCAGCCATGGCTTCCAGAGCAGGTGGCCCATTGAGAGCTGGTTGGTGACGTGGCGGGGCACGGTGTCCTTGTGTCTCTGGGCGGCCTGGGCCATGGCGCGCAGCACAGCGTGGAAGCGTGGCTCGGTGGCGGGTGTCAGGGGTGTGAGCTCGCGGGGGTCACGGGAGAGGTCAAAAAGCAGCGGGGGGTCATGGCGTGTGACGTGGCGGCCATGACACAGGCACACGTGGGTGTCGTGGCAGCCATTGGAACCCGGGGGGCTGAAGTTGGGCGTGAAGTAGAAGGCCTTCCAGATGGACGTGCCTGTGGACAGACGGACAGAGTGAGAATGGTCAGCCCATCCATCCATCCACCCACCCATCCATCCATCCACCCAACCATCTATCCATCCACGCATCCATCCATCCATCCACTCATCCATCCATCCATCCATCCATCCATCCACCCATCCATCCATCCATCCACCCATCCACCCATCCACCCACCCATTCAACAATCCATCCATCCACCCATCCACCCACCCATCAATCCATCCATCCATCCATCCACACCTCCATCCATTCATCCACTCATCCATCCATCCACCCATCCATCCATCCATCCACCCATCTATCCACTCATCCATCCATCCATCCATCCACACATCCACCCATCCATCCATCCATCCATCCATCCACACATCCACACATTACTCACTGTTCTTCGGGTGCCAGCGTACGGCGTTCAGGTAGGAGTTGCAGTAGTGGAAGAGGAACTCATGCTCAGAGCGGGCGATTTCTCCTCGAAGTAGGGGCATCAAGTCACGGCCATCGATGATCCTGTGGCACGGATCAGAGAGGTCAGGTGCTGTGCTGTCTCTGTGTCTAACACACCCAGCCTTGATGCCCCTGCTGAGATTTGAACTCACAACCCAGGCTCTTGTCTCTCTGAGCTCAAGCTGAGCACTGGACCAGTTGGATGCATCTCTACCAAGATGGCGCCACTTCCTGTTGGCTGGTTGGGAGGGGGCATCAGACTTTCCCGTCTTGGGGGACCTGACCCTCACCCCAACTCCTGAGGAGGATCAGACCCCTGAGAGTCTGATTCTTCAATGCCAAACCCACGCCAGGACACAGGAAGTGGCGCCATCTTGGTAGGATGAGATCCAGGGCCACCTTGGAAGCCCTAGAGATGGTTCAGGGAACATTGGCTTGGGCCGTGAGTTCAAATCCAGAAGGATTCCACCCATCCACCCATCAACCCATCCACCCATCCATCCATCCATCCATCCATCCCCCCATCCATCCATCCATTCATCCACCCATCCATCCATCCATCCACTCAACCATCCATCCATCCATCCACCCATCCATCCATCCATCCATCCACCCCTCCATCCATCCATCCATCCATCTCCCCAGCCCCCATCCATCCATCAATCCAACCATCAACCCATCCATCCACTCATCCATCCATCCACTCTCATCCATCCACCCATCCATCCAACCACCCACCCATGCATCCCCCCATTCATCCAACAATCCACCCATCCACCCATCAACACAACCCTCCATCCATCCATCCATCCATCCAACCATCAACCCATCCATCTACTCATCCATCCATCCACTCTCATCCATCCACCCATCCATCCATCCATCCATCCAACCACCCACCCACCCATCCATCCATCCATCCATCCACTCAACCATCCATCCACCCATCCATCCACCCATCCACCCATCCATCCATCCATCCATCCACCCACCCATCCATCCATCCATCCATCCACTCAACCATCCATCCACCCATCCATCCACCCATCCATCCATCCATCTATCCACCCATCAATCCACCCATCCATCCACCCATCAATCCACCCATCCATCTACCCATCCACCCATCCATCCACCCATCGATCCATCCATCCAACCATCCATCAATCCACCCATAAATCTACCCATCCACCCATCCATCCACCCATCCATCCATCCATCCACCCATCCATCCACCCATCCATCCACCCATCCACCCATCCACCCATCCATCCATCTATGCATCCATCCATCCATCCATCCTTCCATTGATCCTTCTCTCCTTCCCTTCTCTCCTTCCTTCCTTCCAACCTTCCTTCTTCCTTTCCTTCCTTCCCTATTTCCCTTTTTCCTTCTCTCCTTCCTTCTTTCCCTCTTCCTTTCCTTCTTTCTTTCCATCATCCTTTCTTTCCTTCCCTCCTTCTTTCCCTTTGCTACTTCCCTCCATCCTTCCCTCCTTCCCTTCTTCTTTCCCTCCTTCCTTTGTTCCCTTAGCTTGCTTCCCTCTTCCTTTCCATCCTTCTGTCCTTCCTTCCCTTCTTCCTTCTTTCCCTGCTTTCCTTCCTTCCCTTCTTCTTTCCCTCCTTTCTTTCCCTCTTCCTTCCTTCCCTCTTCCTTCCCTCCTTCCTTCCTGGAGGAGGACTGAGCACCCAGCACCCAACTGTCCTTGGGGAGGACTGAGCCCCCAGCACCCACCTGTCCCTGGGCAAGGGGGCCCCGGCCAGCGCGGCCAGCGTGGGGAAGACGTCCATGGTGCTGGTGGGCTCATCCACCTCCAGGCCAGGCCGCAGGACGCCCGGCCAGCGGACCAGGCCCGGGACACGGATGCCTCCTTCCCAGGTGTTGGCTTTGCCCCCTGCCAGGAAGAGGAAGAGGAAGAAGAGCATCATCTTCATCATCATCATCATGGTTGGGTGGATGGATGGGTAGATGGATGGGTGGATGGACGGTGGATGGATGGATGGATGGGTGGATGGACGGTGGATGGATGGATGGATGGATGGGTGGATAGATGGATGGATGGGTGG